CAATTGTGCCCACTTCCCCCCACATCTTAGTGTCATCAGCAAACTTGAACAGGGTGCTTTGCACCCCCTCGTCCAAATCACTGATGAAGATATTGACAGTGCAGGCCCAAGGACCTGTTAGTGAGGGTTGGTCTAAAGCCAGTGCCCGACAACCAGCTTCACCTTGAACCCTTACACTCCATCCTTGGTAGGGCTTTAGCTTGACCTTGGAAGCTCTGCTGAGTTTCCAGCGATGAAGCGGATCATGTCCCTGTTTACCACGTAGCCCACCTCTTTCTTCATTGTGTTTGAAATTTACCTGGGCCAGGCAAAGGAGGTCAGCCAACAGCAATCCCACAGTTCCCTGTTTCTGACTCCTAGCTCTTCTGCACCTTATTCGTTCTCTCTGCTGCCCATAAGTAGTCAGGCCTATAAGGAAAGATTTGTAATCCCAGACCTATTCTGGGAAGGGTTCCACTACTCTTAGGTGTGTTGTGCTTAAGAAATAAGCACAAAGCAGATGGCTTTGCTGTGGGCCTCATGTGGCTTGAGCTGGTTGAAGGCTTAACTCCCACGGCCAAGCCAGGGTATCAGTGCAGACATACCCATGGAACTAGCTAGTGCTTATTTTAGCAGACCCCGAGACTCCAGAAACGCCTTTGAAAAATGTGGTTTTATTGCCTCTGTACCATCTAGATTAAATGGCCTTTTGGTGTGTTCAGAAGAAAAGTGCACCTGCCCTTCACTGTGGGTGAGGGAATTGTTATAGCCTGTCTTCTTGATCAAATCCCATTATGAGACATCCCATCGATGGCTGAGGATGCTGGGTTTGGGTGTCTCTGTAGGGAGGGTATGTGGGAATATCACTTTGATTTTTTTTTCCCCCCAAGGGCGAACCAGCAGCCAAGAAGTCCAGGACCAACCCTCAGGTTTACATGGACATCAAGATTGGAAACAAGCCTGCAGGGAGAATCCAGATTCTCTTGCGCTCAGACATTGTTCCTATGACTGCAGGTGAGAAAAGGTCCCATTGTCTCTCGCTTTGCTTCTTGCTCCATTGCTCTTGTTTTGAATTTGGATTTTGTTCCCTCTCCTCTCTGCTGCAGAGAATTTCCGCTGCTTATGCACCCACGAGAAAGGCTTCGGCTTCAAAGGGAGCAGCTTCCACCGCATCATCCCACAGTTCATGTGTCAGGCTGGAGATTTCACTAACCACAACGGCACTGGGGGCAAATCGATCTATGGGAAGAAATTTGATGATGAAAACTTTATCCTGAAGCACACAGGACCAGGTAGGGCAGGGTCCCAGGGGTATGATTGTGCGGTACCCTGCCAGTGACAACTCCAGCCAAGGTGGTGTGGGCTGGATTGCTAGGCTTTAGGGGGATCTATGCAAGGGATTTCTAAGAGTCTGCTAAGTGCAAGCTTGTGTGAAGAGGAAACTCAACACAAAACCTCTATTTGGCAGCCTTGTTGTGAGCATCACATAGGGACAAAGAAGGCAGGAAAAGTTTTGGCTTTAGTGCCCCGTGGAGCGTGACAGAATTTATTGCTACTAAACTGTGTAAGGTAATCAGCCCTGGAGAGCAATGCTCTTGCCTTATCCACAGATCACATATTTCCCCCATGTCGTACCACCAGCAGGCTACAGGCTTGAGCTGGAGAAACCATCTGGTGAGAAGTGGATTTAGTTTCTATCTAGCCCTATTGTTCTTGGCTGAGGGGATCAGCAAAGTGGGAAGCTGAGTGTTTGATGCTTTTTGCAGTGTGGACAGTTTCACTTTATGCAGTGACTTGGGTATAATATAAGTCAGGTCACTGAGGTATTTTACCCAGGCCACCAAACAGCTGTGTAGGACGTGATGGCAACATTTGATCACTGCTGGGTGTTGAGGAGGGGCAGTGTGTCATGGCCTTTTGAGATGGGCAGGGAAGCGGAGGACTGTCCTCCGTTATGATCTGAATCCTGCTAGCAAGCAGTTTCTCTCCTTTAGTTCTTGTGGCTCCACTGTGAAGAAGGAGCTGTTGATGGAGGGTTGGTGTGAAGCAGCTGGTGTTCAGCTGTCGTGATGTCTTTGGCAGTGTGTGGGAGTAGATTTGTAGTGAGTGGGGCACTGATTGCTTGCTCTTTCTGTAGGTTTTTTGGCACCAGGGCCAGCTTTTTTTTACCATTTGTATTACCAAGAGCCCTTCTGCAGGAGTTGACAAACCTGTAATGCCACCCAGCTCTTGTATCGCACTTCCCATCAACAGAACTGGAAGTGTTTTGCACGGGGCCTCAGCACCATCATCCCCACTGTATAGACTAGGAAACTGAGGCCTATGGAGGGAAAGTGACTTTCTCATGGTCACCCTCTAGGGTGGTGACATAGGTTCTGGGTCTGGGACCAGTAGCCTTTTCTGAGGCAGTACTGTCAGTCAAGAAAGGACAGTCTCCAGGGAGAGTGTGAGCTAAGTCTTGAGAGATGACAGATGGGCAGGAGATGGCAAGGAAACAGGCATATATGATGACTGTGACAGGCAGCACGGCCGCAGCCCAGTGGTTGTCACATCCTGTTGGCACTATGGCAAGGGAGAGCTTGGAAGAGGCTCATGAGGCAGCTCTGCAGCTGTCTCTAGAGAGCTCTTCCTATGGATAAGAGATTGCACTGAAGAAAGCATGAGGGCGCTTGTTGGACACAGGCACATGGGTGTTGAAGGCTGGCACTCCACAAGCTGACTGAGGGCAGGTTGCTGGTGTGGGGATGAGTCACAAAGAGCCTCAGAATGAAGACAAGCAGCACATGCTGGATGCAGTAGAGCAGGCAGAGCTGGTCAAGGATATAGAGAGAGGTGCAGTCAAAGCCATGGGCTAGGAGGATGGTCTCTGCGACAGCCTTCTGGATGGGTGTGAACAGGACCAGAGGCCGGCAAAGAAATTGTTGCAGTGATCAAGACCTGGTGTGGTGAGAGTCTGGAGGCAAGTAAAAGACAGGGCTTAGACGTGGCCTGGATGTGATGATCCACAAGGCAGTCGAAGAGGATACCAGGTTATGGGCCTCAGAGGCAAGATGGCAGGGGTGTCCACAGTGAGTGAACCTGAGGGCAGGTGACTTGCTGAGTCCAGCACCATGGATCCTGGCCATGACTAGGCTCCTTGCCAGGGCTCAGCAGAAATGATACATTGTCCTGTATTGTCCCCAGGGTTGCTCTCAATGGCTAACTCCGGTCCCAACACCAATGGCTCCCAGTTCTTCATCACTTGTGAGAAGACAGACTGGCTGGACGGGAAGCACGTGGTGTTCGGAGAGGTGACGGAGGGGGCGGACGTGGTGCGGCAGATTGAGGTAGGAAGTGGCAAGGCCTCCCTAGGGCGCTCTTCGGGGCTGGCAGAGAGCTCGGTCCTCACCCCTGCTTCTCTTCCCTTTTGTCTTTGTTCAAGGCACAAGGCAACAAAGATGGGAAACCCAAGGAGAAAGTGATCATCTCTGACTGTGGGGAGTACGTGTGAGCCCCTGCCGTGCTGTGGGGAGCTTGGCTAGAGTGTGAGCCGGGGGTGATAAAGCCTGGAGACTGTTCTAGATGGGGAAGGAGGACTTCAGGAGATGGCCAAGGAGAAAAAGCTCTGTGCTTTCAAGGCCCAGCTTCTGTCCTATTGCTTCAGAAACTGTTGTGTGAACTTTGGATGATCATTCTGGTCAGGATACCATACAGAGAGCACGACCATGGGTACCTTGCTACAGGGACTGGGGAACACTGCCTCTAAAGATGTTGGCAAGTTGTGCTTCTGCCCCAGCATCTGGAGTATCCGTTCCCCCACAGAGATCTTTTGTATAGCATTTCAATGTGGCTACATCATTTTTAAATCTTTGCTTTTCTTTGAAGCTTGGCTGTTCTCATTCAACCTGCCTCTGTGGTGAGACCTAGAGGTCAACCAAGTCAGAGACCTGTTGCCAGACCATGGTGCCTGCCCCCAGTAGCTTATAGTCTGCTGAGGCTGCTGCTGGGGGAGAGGTGTGAAGCAGCAGGAGTTGGCCCTCAGGGCTTGTTAAATGCCTTTGACTGCTCAGCCAGTTGTTCTGAGCCTGTTTAGACTGGTAGCCAGTAGCTTCCCGGTATGTGCAGAACCTTGTGTTGGCCTCTATGTGGTCGTGGCAGAATGTAACAAGTGAATCTTGAGTCGTGAGTTTTAATGCATCAACTTCTGGCCAAAGGCTCCAAGCTCCTTAAAAGAGAACGCGATTGTTTCTTATCTGCAGTGTGTTAAGCTCTGTCAGGCTGGGAGTTCTGCATTACACTCATGCAGCTGCCTCTTGTTCCCCCCAAAGCCCCGGTTATCACAGCACTCGGATTCCAAAAATACAAGGCCTCAACAAGGCCTGCACCCTTCATTCTTTGGCTTGAGGTGAGAGGAGGATGCCTTGCATACGAGGCAGCTTGTGGGCAAGGGGATCCGTTTCCCAGGGTGGCAGCACAGGAGAAGACTTGTCTCCTGTGATTCCTCTCATGCATGTCTGGATTGGATGGTGATGGTGAGAGTGCCCTACCTCTTACCTCCTGGGAAGCCCTTCCCAGCTGTGAGCAGATGTCTCTCCTTCCCTTTTTCAAGTCCCATACTAACCATGCTACTTCCAGGAGGCCTGTAGCTGCTGGTCCCCTGTGCTGTGAATTGGGAAACAAACCCAAACCAAGAGCACTGCATCCCTGTTTGGCCACACTGCCTTCTTTAACAGCCTGCCCTGCAATCAAACGTTACCAGCTGTAAACTCTGGACCAGGTAGGAGTTTTGCCACTTTCCCTTCTTGCAGCGGCATGTACAATGCAGGGACCCTGTTTGCATTGCTGTCTAAACCCCAATATACATTTATTGCCCTGTATAAAGAGTTGCATATTTTCTGCTAGAGAAAAGCACTGACCAAGACTGGACCGTAGGGTTCTAGTCCCACCACTGGCCTGCTGGGGAACCTTGCACAGGTCACATCACTCACTTCCATGTGTCTTTGCTTCCCTGCTTGTAAAACCAGAATGAGAATTTGAAAGCACTTCATCAAGGAGACGAAGTGCTGGGTAGGACTGATTATTACCCTAGCGCACAGCCATTTAGGAAGGACCATCCTGTACCCTCAGATCCATCCAAATGATCTGTGGTATTTAAACTCCTAGATCCTTTGGGATTAACATCATGCAGACTGATGGCAAATGGGAACAGCAGCATAATTTGGTACTTACAGTGACTGCAAATGACTTGTGTATTGAAAGGCACCTGGATACTATTTTCCTGTCACTGGTGTTGTCTAGTGCCTTGTGGCTTTGTGGAAAGGCTGTCTCACAAATGGGTCTGGGTGTTGTTTTCTGAAAACGATCATAGTTCAGGAATAACTGGGGAAGTATATTTCTAAATGAGACCTTGTGGCCAAACATAAGTAGTCTTCTGCCTATTGAAGGTCCCTCCCAGAAAGGTCAGGAAGTCAATACGATGCTTACTACCAGGTATCTTTTGAGTCTAAGCACAAGTGTGTTCTGGATGACCATGACCTTCTTCTTGGCAGCCTCATGGTGTTTGATCAACTCATTGGTTACCTGTTCATTTACATTGACATTACAGGCTATGATAGTGGTTTTCGCTGGTGAGACAGGAGGAAGAAACATTCAACATACTCTTTGGATCCAGTACAGAATTGAGAGATGTGAAAGGTATAATAGTGAGGAAAGAGAAACTACTAGGGGATTAGCGTTATCCATCCAAACTGCTGTCCAAACTCTTGTGGGGCCATGACTGGAGAGTAGCAGGGTTTCCAGGAGATCCAGGCTGGAGCCCTACTATAGAAATAACAGCTTTACCACCACCACCCCCAACAAAGCACAGCCGTCTTGACAACTTCAAAGTCACAGAAAATGGCTTCATTGGGTATAGCATTTCCTGATGGAAAACTAGTTCAGCTAGAAATTTTGAACCAATTATACCTGCCACCTGGACACATGGAGAGCTAAGGTTCAGAGTGATGAACTCTCTTAGCTGAAATATCAACGCCAAAATGTGTGCATAGTTTTTCTTCTGGTTTGGCTCTTGAAGACTGCAATGTCCTGATTCCATCAGCAGAGAGCACTAAGTCCCTGTTCCTACCACTGCTGTTATTGCTCAGTCCTGCAAAACACTTATCAAAAACCTCTTATTGGGTCTTATTGCAAACCAGCAAGTAGTTAGGTGTAGCGTGATCAACTTTCTCCGCTCTCAGTAAACACAGAGTAACTGTTCACATCTGTAAGTGGGGGAGGAAGGGTAAGCAGTGTCAGGAAATGAATAAGCTAGTTAGTTGGCTGATAAAATATATATATATATATATCAGGAAGCTGAAGGGGGAAAATAGGGTTTAACATCAAATGTTTAGATTATAAACACGAATGTTAAAATGTAAGTAATGACTGTTAATGCTTGTGTGGTTATGTGGCATGGATAACTGAGTGTACCTCATCAAGACAGCTTGGTTGCTGTGATGAGATTGAACTGAGCTGCAAAGAATTTATGCTGCCCACAAAACCCCTTGTAGAAGGGGAGGGGGAATGGAGCCTCTGAGCAATGTTTTGAAGAAAGACTTAAGTACTTGCGGTGGTCTGTTTGGGAGGGAGTTGGAGGGGAGGTACCTGCAGCTTTACTTTTAAGCTGCTTTGCTTTGTTTTATCACAGCTGGGTTTTCAGGGGTGCACAGTGAGTTCCTGATGGAAAGGTGCTTAATATCTCCATTCTACTGGCGCCCCCAGTTCTTCAGAAACCAGATTTGTGCAGATGAACATTGGGTTCATTTTATTTGCCTTCTGACTTCCTTGGGTAACACTTTCTGAAGCTTTTTATCATTTATATCCAGTTTTCAAAAGGCCCCGGGATGTCTAAATGACCTCACTTAGGACCATTTTACCCTCAAACACCACAAGGCAAATAAAATACCACCACCACGGCATCTCATAGGAAGACTAGGCCCAACAGCCTTCCCACTCTTGGAAGACCATTTTAGGCTGGATGTAAGGAAAAACTTTACTGTCTGAGTCCCCAGGGCCTGGGATAGACTCCCCGAAGAGGTGGTGCAGGCACCTACTCTGGATTCCTTTAAGAAACATTTGGATGCCTATCCTGCTCGGATCACTTGACCCCAGCTGACTGCCTGCCCTTTGGGCAGGGGGCTGGACTTGATGATCTTGCGAGGTCCCTTCCAGCCCTACTGTCTATGTATCTATGAAAATGAACTCCAGGTTTTGGGGGAGGTTTTTTGACTCTCAAATCTGTCAAAGTCTTGTTTTTTCAAAGTAGTGTAAATGATGGAGGCACATCAGAAAACTTAACCATGTCTCTTTAGCTTTCACGTTGTCAGGATCTTCCATCACATCTGAAACCTGGTACTTTTATGAAACAAAAGCTCAGATCGCTTATAAAAGTGACAAGCTTTTAAGAGTGGGGCCTTAAAGGAGAACATCAAATGTCACGAACCTTGCATAAAAACCTTGAGAACTGGTTACATGGTGACTTAATTTTTGTCTTCAGAGCAAGTCGGGGCTTTTAAGCATCTCTATTAGGCCCTCTTGACAGGTAGAAGAATGCGGCTTTGTATTGGCGAGGGAGGATGAACAAAAGCATCTTCATAGCTGGGAGAGCCGCTGCAATAAGCTAGATGTGAACTGGGATTGGTACCCGTGTGGTGTTAGCTTGCCTTCAGTCAGCTTCATGAGAGGACCAGGCTAGAATTGACACCACCCTCTTCTCCAGTCTCCTGCTTCTCCAGTCAAGGTGGAAGTGATTTGACAATGTGTTCAGGTTTTTCTTCGGGCGGTCTATTTTGGCTGTTTGAATGTCTGAGCCATGGGGTGAGAATCTGTGCTTCTCTTCTAAGAGGTGCCACACTGTACTCTCATCCTGAAGGAGGCTGGAGCTGAGGGGCTTCCTGCTATCCCTGCCTCCTGGGCTGTTCTGGAAGCTGGGGGACCTGATATAACTGACTCCACTCCAATGACCTGTCTGTCTGGGGTCCTCCAGGGCTTGCCATGGGGTTCTGGGAAGACATGCTCCTATAGCTGTCTCCTGCAGGGTCTGCGCCAGATCAATACCTCCACAGTTGAAACCATGGCTTGGATGACTGGCACGGGCGGCAGCAAGCATCTTATTGCAGCCTCCAAGGGTTTGAGCCTTGCTCTGGGCTTGTACAGAAAGTTACTGCTTTTCAACCCAGCTGTCCACGGCTCAGGCTGGGCAGTTGAAGGTAGTTGGATATGGAGCTAGCCACGTGTCCCCCTCTGTCTGCCACTGGCTACACAGACCTAGCGCGCCTTAGCCACAGGAGCCCAGTGCTGTTCGGCTTAGGTGACCTTGATCTGTGACCTTCACCCATCACAAAGAAGCTGGAACTTGGGGGCAGTATCTAGCCCTTGAGTTCATCATGCTCACGCAGCAAACAAATTCCATGAAGCCCTTAACATCCCCAAGTTTAAATCCTCATTGAGACGTATCTAAAGCAGCCTTTGACCTAGACTTCCCTATACATGTATTAGTCTTGTGTGCCACCCTAAAATAACTGGCAGAGCGTCTTGCCAGTGGAGGGAAATCTCTTGCCCAGGATGCTGCCTGCTTCTGTCTCACTTGTCTTATTAGCAGGCTGAAGTTTTTAAAAGCCGATTGCATTGTGGGTGACAAGGTTGTTAGGTACTGACAAACCTCTGATGGTTCTTAAAAAGAAGCGTTTGGCTGGACAGAGACCTCAATGTGTTGGCTAATCCTGCATCCAAGGAGAAATGGCTACAGGCTGGGGAAGGACTTGTGGGAGCAAGCTGGCTAATGCTTCCTTGTCTGGGGTCTTGTATGTGGAGGGCTGGCATCTATGCCAATGCCTTTTCCCTGGTTTGTGACAGCTGCTTAGTGAAGACATGCAGAGCTTTGTCCTCAGTTTCACCCTCTGAGGCGCTTTACAGTGTGTGATCAGAACAAAGTAATGATCATTGGGGCTCCTCCATCATTGTTAAGACTGTTCTGTGCACACAAGTTGTCCTGGGGTAGTTCTAGTAGTAGTTATAGTCCTGCAACTAGGACAGAGGCAGCTGTGGTAATGCAACTCTCCACATATAGGAGAGAAAATAAGCTGTACCAGTATCAAAGAAGGTGCCTTTGTACCAGTGAGAGGCTGTGGCTGTGAAGGGTTCATACCTACAGCTGTGACTAATGGATTGCTTTCACTGATAAACCTTGGAAATTATCATTGATACTGAATTATATTGGACTGATGAATTTTTCAAAATTTAGTTTGATCTGCCAAAAAGATTGATACGTATATCACCATTGCTAGAAATCATCGTTGGTTAAAAATCTTCCTTCACTCCCAAACCTAGACCCTCTAACCAAATGAATTATCTTGGTGCAAAAGCTGTGTTTAGATGAGGCCGCAGGGGTCGGACTTGCCTTGAAATGCCTGTGCAACTCTAATGCTGCTGTATAGATCCAGGGGAAAAGGGATGTCTCTTCCTTAGTTCATCCTTTTTCTGGAAAGCTGAAGTGTTGCTCTAAGTGGTTGCCCAGTGAGAACACAAACTGAGCTGAAGGCGTCCCAGAATAATGGGAGGGGGAGAGTTCAAAGCCAGTACCAGGCCTTGCTTGATAGCTTTTTGCTGAGAAATCCTGTCATTGGAAGTGAATGCGGCTGTGTTGTGACAGTGACTGAAAATAAACAGCAAGGGAAACAAGTATCAACTTTCCAAACTAGGTGTTTATTTTATAACAGTGTCCTCTCTCAGTAATCCCCCTCCCCCCCCCCAACTGGCTGAAGTTTTAAGCCCTAAGTAAACAGGACAGGGGTTAGGCAGCCAGCTACTTAAATTGGGTGAGAGTTTTCTTTTAGGGGAACTATAAGCGCCAGTTAAAACCGTGTTAGTGGATAGATGCTGATAGATTTGGGAGCAGCCCAAGTGCTGTTCCCCCCTTGCCCTGATTCTGCAGTCTAAACTGCTTCCAGCAGTAATTAACAACACAGGAGCCAGCTAGTCCACAGCTCTAGAAGAAAAACCATTAGCTGCAAACGCAACAGATACTTAACCAGCCATAAATTCTCTCTCTATATAAAGTCTCATGAACTAGGGCAAGATAATAGGAGATTTGTATTATTTACATCCAAGGGTTTTTGTCCTCCCCCTTTTATGAACTTTGGCAACAGGTAGGTAGGAGTCTGACCCTGGCTTCCCAGGCAAACAGTGAACATATATTCTTGGGGTGTCAGTGGCAGCCGCATGATTTCACAACCATGTTTCGGTGCTTCTTGAGGATCACGTTGTTGTTGCTGTCATAGTAGAGGACGGAGGTCGCACTGAGCTTGGTGGGAGCACAGCAAGCCTTGGGGACGGCTTCAGGCTTCATCAGATGGACCTGAGGAACCAAGCACGGAAGGGTGACTGGCCTCCCCATAGCAGGGTGGGAACCCAACAGCAGCAAGCAACTAGCCTGCTCGAGGTAAACACGCAGTGTTGGCTTTTAGTGAAGAAAGAATACTTCAAAGAGAACAGCTCTTACCTGGGAAAGGCGCCGCTTGAATGGGGAGATTATTTTCAGCTTTCGTAAAAATATTTATTCTAAACTTTTGGCAGGGCTCACTGCCGTTTATATTGGACGCCTTCTCCTGGTGCCGCCCCTGCCGGGCAGCCCCTCAACTAAACTTGCATTTCTGTGCAGTGCCTTTGTCACAACATATACTGACCTTGGGGAGAGAATAACGCAGGTGAGCAACTGCAGCCGTTATGCTGCACTTCGGGCTTTGTTGCCCATGTCTAAGGAATAAAGGATTTTCGTTACGGCTGCTCTGGGGAGACACCGCAGTAGTGAGCCTCTCCAGGCGTCACCTGGTGTCAAAATGGAAAATCAGTGCTGGGCAAAAACATTGTGGGTGCCTTACTTTACCCCTTCTTAAGGGGACAGTGGCTTGACTCATTCTTCTGGCAGTAAAGTTGACAAAGAATTCTTTCAGGACCTCTCCCCGAGACGTAAGCCTAGGAGCTTGTAAGTCATTAAGTGCACACAATTGTTCCTCTCTGTGGACCTGCCAGACATGTGCAACTCATTTATTTCAGGGCAAGTCAGAACCTCCCATTTCAGAAATTGGATGTTTTTCTATCCAGTCCCACTGGTTCAGGATAGATGGCTGGGGGGGTGGGGTTTGATCTTTCTCACTTCCAGTTCTGTTTGCCCCTTAAAACAAGATGCCATTCACATCACTAGGGAGAGGACACATGAAACAGTTAAATCAAATTTAGAAGGGGGGGGGGCAGTAGGAAGAAGGGGATTACCCTTTTTTTCAGGTTGAACTACTGTAACTGTTTCAGTAATTTTGCAGCTTTTTGATTCCAGGCTGGCCTGGGTTAGCTTCCTTTTACTGCAGAATTGGAGCAAACAGACTGAGAAGCTACCATAGATCTGCTGGTGTATGCCTACAGGCTGTAAATTTGTTTTCCATCCACCTGCAGATTGGTTTCTTTCTTTCATTTGTCCACAATCTGATGGCCCAGGCTTGGAGACCAGTGACAGCAGTGTGATTCACACACGGCCAGACTTGTTGGGCTCCTGCAAGTGTCAGTGGTGGTCATTTTGGAAGATAGGAACAGACTTAAATTTATTAAAGGCAAAGAGCAGAACAGAAGGCCCACTCAGAACTCGCAGTGCAGGAGCCACAGATGAAATTCTGGTCCCACTGAAAAGGATGCCAGAGCTGCCATTGATTTCTCTAGGGCCAGAATTTCATCCCCCGTCTTCCTGGGTGTTCGCACAGTGAGGTTTTTCTCTCCATAGGGGCTTCTGGGCGCTGCCATCACAGAAACATTAAACAACAACCGACAGCTTCAAGGGTTTTGTAGCACAAACCTGCTCTAGTGCAGATGAATGAAGAGGAGAAATTAATCTAGGCTCCATGCAATTAAATGCTAACGCTAGAGTCAACACAGTTCCTAAGGTTGAGAAATCAAGCACTCACAAGGCAGGAACTTCCAGAAGTTTAAAGCATCTCTTGCCATGCGTCGTGAGTTTGGGAGATGGCTGCATTAGAAAACCTTCCCTATTTGAAGCCTTCTGACTCAAGTGCTTGGTTTTTGAGGCACAGGGATTCATTACGTGCCCCAATAGATTTCTGACATCCACATGCTGCCTCTAAGCAATTAGGAAAAATGTGTGTGTGTGCAGGCAGTCCTCAACTTACAGCGTTTCACACTTACAACATTTATAAATTGACACCCTGTTTCAACTTTCTGAGGTCAGTTTCAACTTTACAACGCTTGATCCAATGCAACACCATGCCAGTGAACAAGTTCATTGCATCGCTCGTCTCCCTGGAGAACATCTGTCCAAACTTCCTTGGACGCTTTCTTTAAGAAAGCCAGCGAGACTCCAGAAAAACCTGCAGCCAAGACTCTTGAGAAGACTCCAGCCAGGAACCCTTCAAAAAGTCCAGCCAAGAGCCCTTCAACACGTCCAGCAAAGTCACCTCAAAGAAGTCCTTCCAAATCAATATGATTGCTATTTACAATAGAAATACAGTAATGTAGCTATATTACTCATCTATAATTGATCGAGTACAAAATTCTGGGGTATTTTTGGTGAAAATAGGGTATTGGGCCTTGGCTCAGGAACCAATCCACCATTTATAACGTTGTTTCTTAGGATTGGTTCTGAGTTACAACGTTTCGACTTAAAAAAAACAAGTTTTCAGGAACCAATTGTGTCCGAGGACTGCCTGTATATGCATATCAGTGATTCTCAACTAGGGTGCCATGACACCCTGGGGTTCCTTGAGACCCTTGCAAGGGTGTTATGAGCTGCCACACAATGTTAGCACTGTTAGGCATGCAAACATGATTCACCAGATAAATCAAGAGATTTCAAGTAGGGATCCATAGTGTTAAAACCATTCTGACCTGTTTTGGCACAATTCTTTGCAACAGAAGAATGGCTCTGGTATTTTTTCTATAGTAAAAAAAATGAATGAAAGCTAAGAGCTGACACTGTCTGAGGGGTACCTCAAGTCTCTCGAGGGGTGCTTTGAGTCTAAAAAGGTTGAGAACCATTGATATGCCTATAAATCTCACACAGCTATTTGCAGTTCAGCAAAGGCGAAGCACCTCACTGAGGACTAGTTCCCTGCTTGTCAGCGTCAGGTCTTTATTAAGTTAATTGAGAAGAGGGAAAAGAAATAGTCTCAGAAGAATATGATGCGTTTTCCATCCCTGTTAGCAGACCTCAGACAGGGAAGCTTTCAGCTGAAACGACTAAGCTTTAAAACAACTGAGGGAAACCAAGAGGCTGTAATGCAAACCCTTTTCTAATGTTATAGCAGCTGTTAATTTGCAATGCGCGTTGCTGGCGTTGATCAAATAAGCTGCTTTGCCACATTAATTTGAATCTGGCTGGGAATGGTCTAGAAAGGGCAGATTGAGGGATCAGCAGAAAGATTGGGCTGCAACCACCCAAACAATGTTGCTTCTCGTTCTTGGAAGATAGGTCTGACTTAAACCCCTGGCAAGTGCTCTCAAACTCTGAAGTCTGAGCCATGCATTTTAGAGAACTTCCTCAAAACTTTTAAACAAATGTAACCTCTCACTTGGGGTTACAGAAAGATTCCTATCTATCTTACAGACCTAACACTGCACTTTCTCCCGTCACCTGCCCCCTGCAGTGACCTGATGTATACTTCTCTCAGTAGATGAAGGCCACTCCAAATGCTAATAATCCTCTGCAAAGCAGTTCCTTTCACTACAAGCTATTAATGTGTGCATGCATTAATAAACTACTGACTAGTGACTGCAGGATGGCGTGATTGGTGGCATTCATGCAGGAGTCCAAAGGGAAGGCACATTCTCCTTCACAGTAGTAGGCAGAGTACCCTTGTGGTGCGATCACCCAGTCCTGTGAGAAGAAAGATTTTACTCTAATTAAGCAGCGTTCTTTTCACCTACTACACTCATTCGTTCATTTTTCCTGCATCTGCAAAAACAATCCATTAGTTTGACCCATAGTGTGGCTAGGGAAAATGCCAAGAACTATGGTTTATTTTGACTTTTTTGTACTGTGCAAAGAGTCATTCAACTGATTTCAGGTTCAGGGTCACCGATGGGGTTTTAGGCTGCATCAGTTCACGTTTCCCTTAATAATACCAATGATCTTAAAGGGAGTTCCTGTTGATGCTCTCTGGCCAGACCAACGGGATGCACAGTTAATAAGTTATAAATTGCCTTATGTTCATGAAAGACTGTGTTGGAAAGCCCAAAAACAGGCTACTTTTTTTTCTTTTTCTTTTTTTGCATTTAATTTTCTTCTGTATGAATTTTATTACTGAAGCAAAATTGAAGGTTGTGGGGGTGTAGAAGGGAGTTGGGGGGAATTACCAGCCATCCAAGGTCCTGAAAGCTGACATAGAGCTCATGCCTTCTGCACACCTGTCTGCCTTCGGTGACATGAATGTCATCTAGAAAAATAAAATGGGTGTGAGTATATGCAGCCTGTTATCTCTGACTAGGTCCATTTCAATGTCCCCAGGCTCTTACCAAAGATCCCAGGAAGCCTGTTTGGGTGCGGCAAGTCATTCGTTTTCTTGGGCTGCCTCTTCCTGAGTTGCTTGACTGCCCGAGTGACTCGGGTTGGGTTTTGGGTTGCTCGAAAAAAGGTGACCATGAAGGGCTGCTTGGATCGTGGACCACGGCAACCCAGAAGTCCTGCTAAACTCGGGTCAACACTCTGCCCTGTGGAAGTCAGAAAGCACAGAGGACACATTGGTTCTGCAGCAGCCTCACAAGAGGCTGAGAGAGGAGCTCTATCCAGTTACAGGGGAAGAAAAATAAAGCAGGCAAGCACTTTTTAAATGTAACCCCCCCCCCCCCAAAAAGCTCCTTTTTTTTCCCCTCTGAAGTCATCATCTTACATCTGTTCTGCTCCTTTTGTTCTATAATTTGCCCTGCAGCTTGCTCCCTTCCACAGTTTCCTCCCCTGCCCACTGTCGTCTTCACAGTGTATGTTTCATAATCAAAATAGAGCAGCTCCTGATGTGCCAATAGGCTCCTTTCCCAGAGCCAAGCTAGATGACTGGGATCCTTCAACAACAGAGCCTGTGCTTGACAGCTCTACCTGCCTCTATCTTGTGTCTTAAAGAGATGCCACCTGTCACAGTCAAATTGGTGATCATGCTCTGTGAGTGAATTTTTTTTTCCTCCTAGGAAGACCAGAAGAATTAGTGTAATCACAGTTCAGCAGAGGAAGATTAGTAGATGTGGGAAAGGTTGAAGAGGGAAAAGAAGAGACAAGAGAACAAGAGAGATCCTAATGTTAGGGAAAAAAATGGAGTTGTTTAAATGGTTTCAAGTTGTTCAGGCTTTTTTCATAAGACTGATGCTACTTTCTTTGTGTTTCCGAACAACCTCAGCTAGCGTGTGCATTCACCACTCCTGGATCCAGCCCAGGGGACAACAGTGGCAAAATGGTTGGACAGGCAAAATACATTCAGTCAATAGGCACGTGTGTTTCTTCCAAATATGAACAGCCAGAGCCTGGGATACATTGCAGACTGCAACATTTTTATGAATGATTTGAATGTGGGGGTGAAGAACTCACTGGCCAAGTTCATGGATGACACCAAGTTACAGGAGAGTGTGGTCATGCTTGAAGATAGGCTGCAGATACAGGTGGACCTAGTCAGCCTGGCAATTTGGGCAGATCGGAACATGATGAAGTTCAGCACTGAGAAATGTAAAGTCTCCACCTCGGGACGAGCAACTCCTAAAACACCCACAGGCTTGGTGGCACCAAACTGACTAGAACCACAAATGAAAGGGTCCTGGAGGTAATAAGAGACCACAGTATGAATATGAACCAGCAGCGTGATGCTGTAGCCAGCAGGGCAAATAATACTGTGGCATGCATCAATCGATGCCTCTCCAGCAAAGCCAAGGAGGTGATTCTTTCACGCAACTTCGCACTGGTGAGACCACAGCAGGAGTACTGCATCCAGTTCTGGGCACCGCACTTTAACAAGGACATGGACAAGCCTGAGAGGGTTCAAAGAAAAGCCACCCGTATGATCTGAGTCTTACACAGCAAGCCATATGAGGAAAGGCTGAGGGATCTGGGACTCTTCAGCTTTACGAGAAGAAGGCTGAGAGGGGACCTGGTAGCAGCTTACTGCTACACTAGGGGAGTAAATCAAGGGCTTGGTGAGCAACTATTTACCAGGGCATCTGAGGGGAAAACCAAGAGTAACGGCCACAAACTCCTGGAAGATCAGTTCAGGCTCAACATTAGGAAAATCTTCACAGTCAGGGTGTCCAGACTGTGGAATAAGCTCCCTCCAGAGGTGGTGCAATCACCTACCCTGGAAATCTTCAAGAGGAGACTAGACAGTCACCTTGCTGGGGTCACCTCACCCCCCGTTATCTTTCCTGCTTGGTGCAGGGGGCTGGACCCGATGATCTTCTGAGGTCCCTTCTGGCCCCTTGCCATCTGTGAATCTATGAATAGGGTAAACATCCCAGACACCTTTCAAGGAGCTTGCTCAGGTACTGCAAGCCACCTAGTCATGACAGAATGCAGCACGTGGGGACAATTTACCCAGCTCCCTGGCAGGGCAAATTAGCCTGTACTGAGTCCTAGTGTTGCTGTGACTACCCTGCTCCCAGTATCTGCCATGTAAGCATGCCCTGCCTCTCGTGGGGAGTGTCAGTGGCATGCAGGCTCTTAAATCACTTAAGTAAATCCCCCCTCTCTCCACTGATTCATAGAAGTTAGGGGCCAGAAGGGACTTCATGAGACCATCAGGTCCAGCCCCCCCTGATCTTAGGCAGGAAAGAAAAAAGACTGGGGTCAGATGACCCCAGCAAGGTGTGCAAAGCATGATGGTTTCAAGGGACCAGGTAACATATGAGACATTTGCAAAGGCTTGTTGCCTTCAGTGAGTCAGGATAGGATTTATGGCTGTGCTTTACAGACCTGGGACTGAGCACGACAATTCTGAGGAAGTCCTGATAGACATATTTTCATCCCTAAACTTCCAATCAGTTGGAGAAAAAGGGGTTTTCTTTGTATTTCCATTGCTGATTACATCTAAACTGCTCCAAACATTTTGTTTTCCCACCCTTAGAGGATGGCAAAACTTATGAGACCTCATTTGGTACTGGACTTCCATCAGCAAAGCATGAATAAAATCAGCATGTACTGGTAGCAACAGAAAGCAGACCAGTTAGCCCTAATAACCCTATAGCCATATCTAATGGATCATGAGTGACTAGCCAGGTGCTAACCATCTCGCATGGGAACCAGAAGGCACAGAGGGGAATTCTCTCTCTTCACAGGTCATCTCTTGCATTGGCTGGCAGGGATCATCTCAGACTGACATGGGGAAAAGGATCCATTTGCATAGAGGGAGAGAGGGAAGCCTATTGTTCACGGCTGCAGGGGTCAGGCACAGGCTACCCTCATAGCAGCATGGTTTCAGTAATACATGTCACTGCAGGGACATCACTGCAAGCATCAGCCATGTCTAGGAGCTGGCTGAGTGCCTGTGCTGGTTTAGTGCTAAGGGGGCCAAGTTACAAAGGAAAAAAGGGAACCCTTGCAAGACTTCAGACTGATTGGGAAAACCTGGAGCCACTTCTCAGGCTGGCAGGGTCCCACAGAGGTCACTGATTTTTCTCACCTGTGCAGCTAGTCCATGCTGTTCAGAGCTGGGGTTTGGAGCTGCTCCCCTCCACACAACCCTGCAGCTCTCAGAGAAGGAGTGAGGACATGGTTTCACATGCTACAGTCTAGCAGGGTGGCAGAGAAAGAACTGCTGGACAAAGTACTGTTCAGGGAGAGAGGATACATTCTCCATTCCTCAAGGACCATTTCTGGAGCACAGTTTTGGAGGCAAAACCTGGACTGGATTTTATCCATTGGCAAAAAGATGGGCTAATCCACAGAAACGGATCCCAGAATCCCCACAGGTAAGGACTACCTTAAGTCTATAAGCTACAGTGAGAGCATGGTAGAAGAATTGCAGTAGCACTGATGCCTCAAGAAGTAGACATTCAAGCTTTAAAGTGGATATTCTCCTTAAGTCTGTTTGCAATGAGCTTGTCACACCCAGAGCTATGTGTTTTTATAAAAGCTAGCATGAACTTTAAATCTGCTAAGTGTCCGACTCAGCCTTACCATCATCTGTCTCCACATAAAGTCGCAGTCCCAGGTTGTATTTGCGGTCTACTAGCCAGTGATTACTGGCAGCTGTGACATCAAAAACCAGCCAGCCCTCAACTCCTGCTCGGAGGTCCTGGAGGTCTAGTAGGAACAAGTCAGAATCCCTACAGGAACAGGAGAAAACAGACAAGAGGCACAACTGAAACCGCCTGTGCTTAGCATGCAGCCGATTTGTGATAAAGCAGTGCCTACCAGTGGGGTCCTGGGCTATAAGGAGGAGTTGTGATGCTACAAATACTGTTAATAAGCACTATAATTCCTGTTGTTTGCCTTGAAAAAACATGCTCACTCACTTTAAACAGTGAAAAAGCTGAGAGGTGCCATTGGTCCCCCTGGGAGAGATGTATTACTCAACGAAATATGGGGGAATCATTTATTTTTTGGCCTTATCACCTCTAAGATAAGAAAACACGTATATAGGTTTGTTGGTAAACTGAATGCTTGGAAGTGAAAAAGTGGCACTAAACTAGCAGTTCAGTAGTTGTATAAGCTGTTTCTGGCATCCTATAAAGATCTGTTGGTTTTCCCCTGTCTCATGGCACCTGTTGGAGTGCTCCTTCACGATCTCATAAATGCTGATGTGGAGGGTTTTGTTGGCGTGCCGAGTGATACTTCTCATCTTGTATATTCGGAATTCGGCAGCTGTCACAGACTCCCCTGCAGGAATTTGAGTTAGGTCAAATCTAAACTCCTTCCAGTAAGGCTTCTGGTAGAAGATGTCTCTGTCATGTTCAACTGGAAAACACAATTAGAAAATGATAAACACTTTGCATCATTTGTATTACCAGCCATAATCAAGTAAAAGTCATGTCGGATGAGTTGCTTTGAGTTTTAATGTGGCTCCCCTGTACTTGGTCGTACATCTCACTGATTTTTCTGCTTTTTACAGGACTTCATTAGATTGCTTGTATTGTGGACCCGCTCTTAACTTTCAGCTACTGCCACCATTTGTTATGTGCCAGCTTATTTTGTGGAATACAATGCTGAGTGTTCCTCAATTTCCACAATTGCTAACGTCCACAACTTGACTCCAAGCCTTCCCTTTTTTCTTAAAGCCCTAGATTTTAACAATCATCTAAGAATCTCAATTTCACTTTTAAAAAAATGAGGAAGGAGAGACAAGTCCCAGCCCTCCTGGCTGTGGACAAAAAAAAAAGAAGCTTGGGAATGTGACCCGAGTGTATTCTAAAGCTCACAGAAGCAGAAAAATGTGTGTGCGCATGTAACCTCATGATTTCTGGGATACAGAGCTGGGTTTTGAAGAGCTGGTGTTGGCAATACTGCAAGTTTTAAAATGCAGTGTATATAAGAGAGGCAGTATTACCCAGTGGATTGAGACTGCTCAGGGACTCGGGAGACTAGAACTATATTCCTAGCTCCACTGCTGGCTGCCTGGGTGACCCTGAGAGACTTGCTTCTCTGCTCTGTGCCTCTATGTCCCTACCTATAACATAAAAGCCAGTAACCTCTCCTTTGCACAGTACTTTGAGAGCTGTTTGGTGCACAGTGCTGGGTGAGAGTGGTACAGGAAGGGATGAACATCTTGCTTGCTTTTTAATTTCTCCAGGGAGAAAGTCTAGATCTGCATGCATGTCTTTTCCTGGTGCCTGTCCCTTCCTTCCTGTTGCTTATTTTTAAAAAAAGCACAAGCAAAGGCCTGGAAATCTCTTTGGAAAAATGCTGCACTGTGTAGAGTCTTTTAATGGTTTTGACTCTCCCTGCATCATGCTGGGAGCCCCAACAAAGCTGCCAGTTTGAGGTTTAATTCTGGCCGTGGTTTCAGAAGGAATATTTCCTTTCTTAACTGGGGCAACTGATGTGAGGAAGATCTATTGAATCTGGATTGGGAGTGTTTGTGTTATTTCTGCAGCTGACAAACATCTTTAGGTTGGTTTACAAACTGACTTCTAAAACCTTGCGCACAATTTGATTTTCTCCATATGACCATTATGGTGCCACTTAAATGCCGAGAGGGGAGGCTTTGCTCTGGCATGTGGAAGCAGAGAAATCTTTGGGTTCTTAACACAACAAACGCAGCCATTTCACAGCTTGTCGTGGGACCATGGAATGAAAGGGCACGATTATGTTTGACTGATCCACTGTGAGTTATGAGATCAGGTTTAAAAGGTTAGTGTGTGTTTCTATGCAGGACTGGGATTTAGGGCTGTTACCCCCAAGCAGAGCTTTGAATCCCTGGAAGGAAAAGTTGCAAAGATTCTGCCAAGCGCACGGGGGAATTTTGCTATTGATTTTATGCAGCAGATGAGTGCAAAACCCTGGAGAAGAGCAGAAGTGTCTTTGGACTTGAGTGATTTGCTGTGTGTTGATGAGAAGTTGTTTAATCCCTCAGTTTATCTATGTAAAATGGACAGGAGAGTTGGAAAGGTTTATGGCTGGCAGAGAGTCTCTGAACCCCTTTCCCCCCAAAATTGTGCCAAGGTCATTTATTAATAAATCGCTCTAGTCTCATTAATGACATGTTTAACAACTTTATTGCAATAATCGATGCACTGAAATGATTAGACTTTAATGAGCTCGCCTTTGAGCACAAGAACTGCGAGGTCATACAAGGCTGGAGGAGGGGTACCGTGATACCCAAAAGCTTGTCTATGTCTGTGTTGGTCCAATACAAGATATCCCTCAAAAGAAGTCTTGCCTTTCTGAAACTGATAAACATTTAGGCCACTAAGCAATCTTGCTTTTGTTTCATTTGCTAAAAGTGCTGGGCTGCATTAAGCTGTCATTCCCATGTTTTTTTTTTTTTAGTATCAGCTTTGATTAGCAGTTGCTCTGTCCTTAAAGAAAGAACTGGCTAGGGAGGACAAGGGTGTCTTTCAGTCTCTTTTCCAGGCAAGGTGTTTAGGTTGTGTAACTCAGCATAGCTCCCTGGACATGGCCCACCGACCCTGCCCAGTCTCTGCTCCGCAGCCCTCTGAACATCAAGGAATGAGATGAAGAGCCCGGCTCATCTTGTGTCAGCCTCTGGAGGCAACGGTGTCCCTAGTTTGAACCAACATGAACAGACTAGGAACCTGAAATAATAAGCAGACAGAATCACCCCTTCACTTACCGCAGGAGAACATGGCACCTGGGTGTCAGTAGGGTCAATGATAAGAGATTGAAGTGGCCCTTTTCATTTAAAATGCACCTTAGAGTTATTTCACTGGATCTTTAAGTTAAAGTTTGGGCCATCTAAAGACTTGTCTATGACAGTTTTCTAAGACTGCCCCTGTACAACAAATATTTATGACCCGCTCAAACGTACAAGTATTCAGAGATTCATAGCATCTGATGAAGCAGGTTGTCACCTATGAAAGCTCATGTCTCTCTGAACCATTTGGTCTTTTTAAAGTGTCACCCTGCCTTGCCTTCTGCCTGTACAAATAATTAAACAATCTCAATGAACCTGGCCCAGAGCAGGACAAAATCCTGGTCTTAAATATCCGTTGTTAATATTATTAAGGATAATGATGATAACAGATCTTTCATGAGGCTGAGACCAAAAGTCTCCTCTTCCTGATCTTATACCAGGTGCATGGGTTTGAACTTGTGCTGTTGTGTGCACAAGTAAGAAGTTGCATGCGACTTACAGGTGACCTGTCTGATCAGCAGTGAAGCCACATCTTGGACAGTCTCAAGCACTTGGTTCTGTGGTCACATAAATTGTAGGTGATGTTGTTATTTTGCTTTTGCTATCAGTTAAAATTAATTTGTAACAGTTAATTTGAGCCAGCCCTAAATTGCTTTTTGGAAGGGAGGCAGACTTTTGTTTTGTCAAAAGCCTTCATGGAAAGTGTCTGTTTTCTATAGAAGTTTGGTCAAAATCCTCCAAAAAAGAGGTCTCGCTTTATTTTTACGTATGTAGCTTGTATACTGTTTCACTTAGGGTTCTTCTGTAATTGCTGCTCAGAAACGTCCCAGGCTACAGTTAAGGGGCATGATTAAACTTACTAAAAATCAAGAATAATGTTTGGGAAATAACAGAGACATATTGAACAAACCCACTTCTACAATAGTGGGTGATCCTCCTATGAGGTGCCCATGTATAAAATTAATTGAATTAAAATTTAAGCTATTTAATTCCTTACAAAAAATCAAATGCATCATTAAACCAAAGCTGCTGCTATCAATGCTATTTTCAGGTTTTATGTTAAAATAGTGCTGGCACCTCAATATAACAGCTTGGAACCCATCCGCATCTACAAGCTAATAAATTCACCAGCCCAAAACCTCTCATGTCAATGTGAGACACAAAACTGAATGGGACTTGGCTAAATATGTAAAGGAAGCTGTTTTAGAGCCCTCAGTGGCAGTGCAATCTCAGTAATGAAGAAACACGATGGAGAGATTAGGTGGACCATGAAAACTTTATTGGAGGCTTTGGAGCAGAGGCTGGGGGAGCGTCAGGTTAGGAACAGGACCTCCTGTGTTTTGTGCAAGGGGTTGGACTAGACGACCTTTGACATCCCTTCCACACCTGCGGTTCTATGAACTTCACCTGAACTGCCTCCAAAACCTAAGCCCCATAGATGGCGAATATGAAGTACTGTCATGTACACAATTCCCGTGGACGATGGAGAACACATAAAGAGCATGTGGACCTCACATTTATGTAAGGGGAGCATGCAGCTAAGTGCTCTTCTCCAGAACTGAGATCTTAATTAGGCATCCATGTGTCTTTAAAAAAAAAATGTTCCCTTCCAACTTCGGGGCTCACCACAAGGTACATTTTTAAAAAAAGCAGCGGGCCAGGCTGCCCTCAGGCGGATGTGGAGAGCACTTCCTGTTCCAGCGGTGTGGGCCTGGCACCAAGCAATGGACAGCTGTGCTGTGGAAGGATGTTGCAGAGTACATTTGGGAAGGAGAAACCGGCATTTTGATCTCCCCATACAAAAAAGAAAACAACAGGACACCGCCAAGCGAACAGCTGCAAACTTGCTCCAAAGCCACTGGAATAACTTCAGGGTTTCTGAAAACCAACCCATACCCCAGATGAGTAGAGCAACACCGTATGTCACGACCAAGTCCTGAACGGTGCTCGGGAGGCTAGGAGCTCATAAGCTGTCCTTACTCTGCTCTCCAGCCCCAGATGCTCTGTCCTAGCAATGTGCAAGACGTCCTCATCCAAAAAAAGGCCTTGGTGGGGGCCTAACAGTTGGGTGTCTGCAGCCCAAAATGTTAGGTGCCTGGTCCTCAGCATGCAGCCCAGAGCCTGGCACCTCAGCTCCCTATATAATTAATTGCCCAGACAGTGGGAGGTGTTGGGTCTAGGTCGGTCCTCCTCTGCCTCAGAGGGTTCAACTGCACAGCTATCAACTAGTGAGACTCCGGTGGTCCCCCTCCCCCGTACTGCTTGCTCTTCCCCCCACTTTGTCTTTTATTTTCTAATTTCTCTCTCCTTATGCTCTGCTTTTTGCACCTCCTTTCAAAGCACTTCATAACATCTATGAGCTTAAGCTCAAGACAGCTTGTGCTGTCTATATATGTCTTATTTAGTTAGCCTATGAAGGTGCATATCTACCTGGCCTTCTGACTCAGGTGAGGGGGCAGAATCCCCTTCTCCACTTATCTCTTGTAAGTAGCTAGAGTTGGATCTCTGCATAGCAAACATGGCTTAGGAGGGGTGTGACTGTAAAGAGCAGTTGCTATTCCTAAATAACTCCGTGCAGACAGGCCCTCTGGAAACAATGTGATACCAACTGAAAGGTTTGCGCTCCAAGTTTGCTGATGCCCAAGCTACAGCCACACGTCAGTACATGCTGATTTCCATTGGGTAATATGAAATTTGCCTTCTGTGCCC